AACAGTCAAGAATCGTTACCCACTATCACGGATCAATGATCTTATAGACCAGTTGGAGGAAGTGAGGTTTTTCACGAAGTTGGCTCTGAAGTCTGGTTACCATCAGGTGAGGATTCGAGAGGATGACAGTTGGAAGACTGCGTTCAAGACCAAACAGGGCCTGTTTGAGTGGTTGGTGATGCCGTTTGGATTATGTAACGCTCCGACGACCTTTATAAGACTCATGAATGATTTGTTGCAACCTTTTATAGAGGATTTTGTAATAGTTTGCCTCGATGATACCTTGGTGTATAGCAGGATCTAGGAGGAGCATCTTGTTCATGTCGAGAAGGTGTTTGAAGTGCTGCAGAACGGACAGCTGAAGTTCTATGGGAAGAAGTGCGAATTTGGGAAGGACAGGTTGGTGTATCTCGGTTTTATCGTGGGGAAGGGCCAACGGAGGATAGATCCAGACAAGGTGGCGGTGATCACGAAGTGGCCGACACCTAGGATAGTGACGGAGGTGAGAAGCTTCATGGGGCTTGTCAGTATTTGCGCATGTTTATTCGATATTTTTCGACTTATGCGGCACCTTTACATGGTCTTACAAAGGTGAAGGTTCAGTTCAAGTGGAGAAGGACGCAGGAGGAGGCTTTTCAGTTGCTGAAGAGGAAGATCTCGGAGGCACCGGTATTAGCGTTGCCTAATTTACAGAGGATCTTCGAGGTAGAGACTGATGCTTCTAGCTATACTACAGATGTTGTGTTGATACATGATGGGAAGCCGGTGGAGTACCATTCTGAGATGTTCACGGGTGCTATTCAGAACTACCTTACCTACAACAAGAAGTTTTATGCACTTTATCAGGCGATCAAGCATTGGAGGGTGTATTTGTTGGGTAAGGAGGTGGTTGTGCACTCAGATCACAAGCCATTGGAGTTTCTACGTGCCTAGACGAAGTTGCAGCAGGCACGACACATGAAGTGGATGTCCTATTTGATGACGTTCAACATCATCATTAGGTATAAGAAAGTGGTGAAAAACAAGTTGGTCGATATGTTATCTCGACCGTCAGTTAGAGCTTTATTGGTGGCGACGCGTATTCAGCCATTTGGTTCCTTTAGAGTATGTACAGATGTACACATCCAGCAGAGATATCGACAGTATGTTCGAGCAGGCGAAGGCTGGTCGAAGGGGGGAGTACGAGCTTGGAGAGGATGGTTTGTTATATTATGGGACATCGCTTTGCATTCCGGAAGATGGTGATAGGTTGCAGTGGATTAGAGGCACATACATCGCGTGTGCAAGGTTATTTTGGGATTCAGAAGACGCTTCTCAATCTACGGTGCTATGTCTTTTGGCCGAAGATGCTAGAGGATGTTACCAAGTACGTTGGATGGTGTAAGCTATGTTGTATTTCGAAGCCTTCTAACAAAAAACGGGGATTGTACTTTCCATTACCAGTGCCTTCTAGACCGTGGGAGAGCATCTCTATGGATTTTTAGGAGGGTTGTTAACGACCAAGCGCGGATATGACTATTTGTACGTTGTGGTGGACCGGTTCAGCAAGATGGCGATCTTGATTCCTTACAAGAAGACCGTGACGGGAGCGGGTGAAGCGCAGTTGTTCTTTGAGCATGTGTGGAAGCACTTTCAGTTGCAAAGTTCAATTATTTTGGATCGGGATAGCCGATTTCTCAGGTATTTATGGGATTTTTTGTGGAGTTTGATGGACATTAGATTGAAAAGAGCACGACCTTTCATCCACAAACAGACGGACAAACCGAGGTAGTCAACCGGACTATGGTGCACATGTTGAGGGGGTATAATTCCAGGCATCCCAAGACTTGGGATGAGAGCTTACCATATCTTCAGTTTGCATTCAATCAGACTATTCATGGATCTTTGGAAAAGTCACCGTTTGAGACGTGTTACGGTAAGAATCTTACCGCCAAGTCCGTTCGATCTCGTGTTTTTTAGTGAAGCTACAGCCAACGGTAAGGAAGGGAGTGAATGACAACGGGTTCAACTATTTCTGGAGAAGATTGCACATATTCACGCTACGGTTGAAGCTCAATTGAAGAAGTCATAAGCTAAGTACAAGGCAAAACATGATCAACATCGAGTTCCTTGTAACTTTGGGAAATGTGACATGGTATGGTTGAAGTTGAGTAAGGAGCGGCTAAAGGGAGGAGAAGAAGTTGAAGCCTATACGATATGGTCCATTTCAGATTCTTGATCAGATTTGACAACGCCTTCAAGCTTGATTGCCACCTTACTTAGGCATGTATTCGGTGATTAATGTCGAGTACTTGAAGTTGTTTGAGCCTCCATTGTTGGACGATGAGAGTGACGACAAAGTGATCTTACCGCACGTTGAAGACTTATGGTTTGATAGAGGAGAGCCGCTAAAAGAGGATTGTATTTTAGAGCGGAATGTGACTACGACGAGATGCAGGACGAATGAGTCGTTTCTGATCGGATGTCAAGGTCAGGTTCCTAACAAAGCCAGGTGGTTCAATAGGGAAGGAGGGGCTCACGAGTTCCCTCAGTTGAAGTTCTAACTTGAACGAGACTTCAAGCTCCTAAAGGGGAGAGCTATAATACGGGTGTATCTTCTCTCTTGTTTCGGGAGCTTAGCGATCATCATGGGAGCTTGAGGATGATTCTTATGGTAGCTTGAAAATAGAGACGTGGTGGAGCCGTTGGTGACGACGAAAGAGGTCAAAAGCAGAAAAAACAGAAGAATCAGAAAATAAAAGAATCGACTCTGATCGATCGCCCGAATGGTTGACACCGGTCGACCGACAATGCCATATCGGTCGACCGATCGACTAATGTCGGTCGACCGATAACGTGCACGCCTACAGGGTTAAAAAAACATCTCGTTGGCCGGTCGACCGAATCAGGTTCTTGGGTGAATCTGGATTCTTTTTTGACGTGTTTTCCAAGTTTCATTGGGTTTGGTTATTTACAAGATTGTCATCCACATTGTTAGACATATAAATATGGATTGTTTAGGGTTTCTAGATAGGAGATTAGATTTTAAAGAGAATAAGAAGATTGTTCTTTATTCTAGTGAGATTGTGAGGGAGATATTTTATAATATTTCATTCTTCATAATATAGAGAATGTATTTTCCTTCGCCACTTTAATTTTCATGTGTTGTCGCTGTCATCTTCTCAACCCCACCTTTGATAATTTCGCGATCAAATGTGCTCGCTCGACGACTCGTATCACTCTTGGTGACATGACTTTGGGAGATTAGGCTTCTTGGGTGTACTTGTATTCAAAAGCATACACCTATATCCACAAACTGGCATTTAATATGACAACTTACTTTGTGAATCTGCTGTATAAACGTATCTTTCACTGTAGGAGCCATATGAACTACATCTGAAGTTGGATTGCTTTTAACTTTAAAGTTACCGGGCTTTACTTTCTATTGTATTCTTGTCTTGTATAACATTAATTGATTACAATTACTTATTTTCCATCAACATTAAGATCCTCGCATTGAATTTTGCATATACCGTCACAACTTATGTGCACTTTCAGATCTCACGTCACTTTGTTGATGCCATTTAATGATGGATCCTCTTGAAATCGCTATTGTACTAGGTAATTTAGACTAGAAGCAACCCGCTTTATGGACCCAGGATTAATGATTTAAGATTCATGCCATTATTCTCATTATTTTAAATATCCCTGACATGGCCCAATGTTTTGCCAAATATATCATTTTACAGGGTTTGCGCCAGTTGACATGGTTTCTAAATATTCTTTACTGTTTTTTGGCTATTTTTGGGCGATACATTCTTGATATGACCGATATATCAACCAGTACATTGACCGATGTATCCTTTTATATGGTTTGTCGCAAAACAATACATCGTGTTTAGCAATTCTCGGGCGGGATATCATGATTTTTCCATTATATCAAATGACATATTATCCTAAAAAAATCAGACGAAATGTTGCAACTTTGTACTTTCGTTTGTTCTACAAGGTTGATTACTAAGGGTGTATTCGGTCTGGATACGGCTCGGATATAATGCTTACCATATCCATATCCACTTACCCATCTCGGATACGGATATACCTCGGTAAGGAAAATTCATATACATATCCTTCAAAATCGAATACGGTTACAAATATAGATGCAGATATATAAGCGGATATACATGCAGATACAAAACAGATATGAGAAAATTAGATAGTATTGAGAAAAACATAGTTCATGTGATACAAAAGAGATCGTTAATATGTTTATTATAACAAAAAAGCTAAGATTAGACATCTTGATCATCAAAATTAACCACAAATTCATACTTTAAAAATCGAAACTATGGTAAGAGTATGACTAATATGTATTCGGATATTTTGGATACGGATACAGATATTTCACTACAAAATCATATCTGTATCCATATCCTATCGGTTATAGATTTGAGTAACCATATCTGTATCCTAACGGATACAGTTACGGATATTTCCTCGGATACGGTTTAGCACCCTTATTGATTACTGATCCTAAACATATATTATTTACATTTTGTATGCTTAGATTTTATTAAGTATGTTGAGATTACATTTTAGTGCATTATACTTTATAAGCAAACGTCCATTATGACATTCCGATATTTACTACATATCCCTGATATTTTCCTGATATTCGCAAACCAATATGAATTTTGGCCATCCGATTGTTCCCCGATATCCGACATTTAAAACCTTGACTATTCTCAATAATATTGTATTGGGTTTCCAGCTGTAGGCAAGAAGCTTTTAGCCTTGTTATAAGGGTTCCCATTCCTTGAATGTAGCCGCTTGGCACTAAATACCCATGCCCAGGTCTAGCATCCGTTAATACAGTCTTTCTATCTTATCTTTCTGAACTCTTAAGAACTTATTTTCAATAGGATGGCATCTGACATTAGGAAATTTGTACAGATGTTTTTGTGCATCCAGTTCTTTTTGAACTAGTTCTCCTTGCTGACAATTTTTTCCCCTTTTCCCAGGGAGTGCTTGCGCTATGCGGGATGCATGATGCTCAAGGCAAACCAGTATTGTTTTGTGCCAGCAATGATAACACTGTTCGCCTCTATGACCTTCCATCGTAAGTACATTAATCAGCATTCAAACCTTTGCCTTCAGCTTAAGCTCTGCCATTTTGTTTATTGTATATACTTTGATATATATATATTTTTCCTGTTATAATAGATTCAACGAGAGGGGTAAGATTTTTGCAAAGAAGGAGATAAGAGCTATACAAATAGGTCCTGGTGGCCTATTTTTTACTGGAGATGGAACCGGGGAGCTTAAAGTGTGGAAGTGGATTGCTAACGAGGCTACATCTGCTTGATAGCAATTAAAGGGGTATTTTTTTTATTTTATTTTTATTTTGTAATTTATATTCTTCCCTCCCTTACGTAATGTATAAAAGGGCTGAGATTATGTAGAAGTGAGAGAGAGATGCTCAAAGAGGTGCAGAGTATTTGTAGTGAGAGGCAAGTCAATTTTGAGATCTTCCCTATTGATCTTTTTTTTTATTAGATCATACAAGTATTGTTGAATTGAAAGAAACAGGCGGTAGCTAATGATTGTTTGGTTGATCTACAATAGTAGCTAACAATAGTAACTTGAAACACATAACATATATTTTTACATCTTTTTGTAATATGAATATAAATTAGACACTGAGCGGAGACCATTTCCCTAAAATATAGATGTGAGCTTCATGCTCGAAGTAACCCACGTCAATTTTACTGATGAACGAAATGTGCTTCTTTATGAGAACATGAAAGAAAAACAACATATAACTTGGTATCCTTTTTTAATATGGATTACATTAACGAAATTTTGAATTATACCTCTCCCTCCCTCTCTCTCTCTCTCTCTCTCTCTCTCTCTCTCTCTCTCTCTCCAAAAAGGTTGTTGAAGGATGAACATCAATAAACAAATATGAACATTTTTTCCAACTACTAGAGCAATTTCTCTTTTCTTAACAACGGTTATGAATAGTTCTATTTTCTTTTTAATTGGATGACATGAAATTAAGCTAAAATAATAAATGTTGCAATCTAGTTTATGTTTTCAACGTTTACTAATAACAACCAAATAATTGGATAATTAAATTATATTTTGCAAAACAAATTTGCAGCATTTGCTACAATCAAATTAACTATAACCAATATGCAAATCCTCCCATTAACAGAAACTATTATAAATTAATATCATGTCATTATGTTGATGCATTTTGACTCAAAACGTATCTTTGCGTAATACTAATTAAGGTGAGTATTCAATTCTCTTATTAATTGGTTTACTGTTGAAACAGTAAAAGATACAATCATATTTATCTTTTTAATGTTTAATTAGCAACAATACAATTGGAAATGATAGTAGATTTTCATTTTGTAAAAGAAATTTGTAGCATTTGTTGTAGTCAAATTAGCTACATTAAATACTATAAGTCTTTATATGAGCTAAAAACATGATAGACAATGTCATATTATCACAACAACAACTATGACGACGACGACAACAACAAAGCCTCTATCCAAAATATTTGGGGTCAACTACATGAATTCCATTCTAACATTCTATTCTTCCATTCTGTTCTATCACGGGACATCTCCTTTGTTAAGTTAACCATATCCTTATTAATTGCTTCCAACCAAGTTCTCTTATGTCTTATCTCTAGATCTTTTTGCCATATTAACTATAATATTATTACTTTTCCTAACTAGTGCACAAGGAGGTCTTCTTTATACATGACTAGACCACTTTAGTTGATTCTCTCTCTCATTTTATTCTTCGTTGGAGCAACCTCTAATTTACTATGAATACACTCATTTCTTATCATATCTTTTAACATATGCACAGACGCACCATTTTCATTTTTGTAATTGCACTCATTTTTATAGAATTCTCATAATCCTTGTATTTAGGGGGTGTTTGGTTACATTTCTATAAATTATAGGAAATGTTTTCCATCCCAAATTTGATTTCCTTGTATTTCTTAAAAAAATTATAGGAAAAGTTTTGAGAAGTTAAAAAGTACAAATTTTCTTATTTTTTGTATTGTGCTTGTTTGGTTCAAAACAAGAAAATAAGAAATAACTTTTGGGAAAATAGCAACATTTCCTATAATTTATAGAAATGTAACCAAACACCACCAACTTTATAGAAAAGTGAGAACTTTGTAGAAAAGAGTTAATGAGTTTTATTATTTAAATAATGAATGCGTCAGATTTCCAAGAGATTTCCTCCCATTTTAGAAGGAAATCAATTTCCATAAAATTTGGTACTTTTGGGCACTTTACAGAAAACATTTCTGTAAATTTTTTTGGAGCCAAACACAGTTTATAGAAATGTATAGAAAACTCTTAATTACATAAATGCCATGCGTCAGTACTTTTGAGAAAACATTTCTCAAAAACAATGCAACCAAACACCCCCTTAGTCTCGCTACCTGCTAAAATTTCGTCGCAGATGGTAAATCGCGACAGAATTCCATCGTAAAAACTTCCATCACTGTAACCCTTGATGTTGATACCTGCAAACTTTGACGACAAACAAATAAATCGATCGTAATTGTTACAATCAGCGATAGAAGAGTGATGATCATTTGCGTCGTTGATGTTAAATCCCAAAAATCTACTGTAAAACTTTGCAATTGAACTTAGCGATGACATTCAATCATAGTTAATATTTTCGTCAATTGACACAATATTCTCGTCGCAACGGACATTCATTAAAATGCAGCATGAGAGCCAGAATTCCGTTGCAATAGGCGTTTATAAGAAACACCATCAGCGACAGATCGAAACTCTTAAATTATTATTTTCACAATTTAAAACCTGCTTAGTCCCACAAATACGAAAAACAACAAAAACTCAATCCGTTCAATTAGAAATGTGCATCTCTGCTAAAAATCCACGCAATACTACTAGATCCATCCAATCCAAAAATTTTATTATGTTAAACTGTTATATCTAATTTTTACATTGCCAATATAGTTTAAGTTCCACATAAACCTATCATTCATTGCTAATGTTGTCTTCCTCTCACTGTCTTGCTCTGTTCTTTCCCTTGAGGAACTACGAGGACCCTATACAAAAGAAGAAATTTTGGTTAGATACATGTGTATTTGCAACAAAGATATCTATCTTTATACATATATGTTTGTTTACTAAATAATTTTATGTTAACTCAAGTTCAAATTGGTGCTTTTATAAGCTCACTATTACATCACACTAATGCTTTTACGTTGGTGCTCTTATGAACAAGGGGGATGAACTTATTTATACATATGTTTGTATTCTTATTAATCTAACTTACTCAAACTTTCATTAACTATTCAAAAAATTTATAGACATATTGTGCTTTATGAGTAATAACATTTAAATTATTGTTGGGGACGGGAGACGCCCACAATGTCACGGAAGCGATATCAACTTCGAGAGAGAAAAACAACCCTAGCTAGAGTTTACACCAAACTCAAAACCAACCAATCACAAGCAATAGCGAATACATAGATAAAAATAGGTAAAGGAGACAAGACAACAGATTTACGTGGTTCGGTAAACTTGCTTAAGTCCACGGGAGCCGCACAAATAATTTCTTATTTAACCACAAGAAATTACAAAGCTTGCAAAAAGAAGATCTCAAACTTGAGATCTCTCAATCAAAATATTGATCACTGTAGAACTGCTACAGTATCACGTGTGAATTTTCACTGAGAAATCACCGCTCAATCTCATTGAGAATATCCTTTAAAGGCTTCTAGAAAATCACCGCTTCTCTTGAGAAATCGCCGCCGCCTTAAACCCTCTCAAGAATCGCGAGATGACCAGCTCTAACAATTCTCGTGAACAGGGTTTCTGTAGTAGCCTAAATAATTAGTGTCTTAAAACTTAATTAATGGAAAAAAAATAATTACAGATTAGAGAACTAATTAAGGGTTTTTTTGGAATTTCACCCCTAACTCCTAATTATCTGCCACGTTAATATTTAGTGGCTAAAATCCATTCGACAAATTGGCCGGCACCTTCTTAACGGAAGAATAAAACAGAGAAATCAAAGAAAACCACAGAAAAAAAACAAGGGAAAATTTTTTGGAAAATATCCTCTCATCCTCAACCAAACCCTCTGAAAACTAGATAAGGATTGTGAAGAGAGAAAAGAAGAAGAAGAAGAAGAAAGGGAAGAAGTTGGGGGAAAGAAAAAGGGGGAAACAAAGGTATAATTCATCTCTCGTTAATCTTCTTTTATTTTAAAAATTGATAGGAGTAATTGTTCTTTGAATTGTTAAGAGGAAAAAAATGAAAGAGAACTTACCTGACCGGTGGCGACTCCACTCGCCGGAGGAGGGCGCCTCGGGTGACCGCTCTGGCGACGGAGTTTGAGCAGCCGCGCCACCTTGGCACAATGGAGAGAGAGAGAGAATGGCGAGAGAGAGAGAGAGAGAGAGAGAGAGAGAGAGAGAGAGAGAGAGAGGAGAAGAAAACAGAAGAAAAGAAAAGAAAAGAGGAAGATGAAGAATCAGAGGTGGAGGACTAGGTAAGGGGAGAGGGATAATTTTTTATTCACCCCTACATTACAAACTAATTTTACATAAGCCCACCTAGCTCGTTTAATACAAGTCATGGCTAGGAAAAATTCCCTTAAGCCCCTGAACCATATAAACATTTCGAAACAGACCTTAGTAATATAAGTTATAATTGAAAAATGGTTGGAAAATATCTGTTAGGCCCCTATTATTTACTCAATTTGTAAATAAGTCCAATCTGAAGAATAAACAATAACTTTTAGGCTTGATAAATTCCCTATAACCCCATACATTATCATAAATTACTAGGAAGTTCAAAAGCTAGGATACGAGAGTTATAATTTTTTTTGATAAATTGCTAAAGTTAACAATAAGCTCATATGTACTGTAAAATTCAATTATTATTGATTATATCTGAATTTATTAGGCTCTAGATTATGAATTGATTTACCTATAATATATGTTTGTCTTGAGTTAATAATTAGTTTTATATCTTATATTATAGGATTTGGTTGATATCAAGGGGACTAATATTTTGGGATAATCGTGTCAACTAGAGGTGAGTTCATTTCTCACTAGTATTTTATAATATAAAATTGCATGAATATTATATTTGATTTATCTTGTAATCGAAAAATAATATATCATTTTCATGTATATAAAGATTTGATCTACCTTTGTTGTGGCATAAACCATAAATATGATATTGTTTCGTACAAGATATGAAAAATCAATTTGATTTTATACGAACTATGAAAAGTGAATTGGCTCTCATGCAGTTTTAACTAATTATAGATATTGCTTTATCTAAAAGTTTTTGATGAAGTATTTTGAACATATTTCAACGGTTTAACAGATTCAAAGATTTGCTGTGATTTGGTATCTGATTAAAAAAATTTGTAAACTGTCTTAACTGGGATAAGAAGTTTTACCTTGTCAACTTCATTTGAAAATATCTGTAAATTCTAAGATGCGAAGTATTACTCATTGGACATGTGATCTCGATGTTTTCAAACCCTCAAATAGTCCACTATGGATTGTTTCTGCCTGCCATGTGGTGAATGCACCTTTATTTGGCCCCTCTGTGTTTGCCCTTCTGTATTAGCCCTTCTGAAATTTATTCTGGCCCCTCTGTATTTGATCAGTAACCTATGGCAGTGTTAGGTGCATTCGATTCTCGGGAATTATCTATCATGTGATGTGTTTTACGCATTCCCTTGCTACTGGGCTATAATTCGTAGCCTTAGTGTGACCTATGAGGTGACTTTTACATTCATGAATAACTCATCGAGAATTAAGATTTTGATAATTGACTATGAAATTGAGAAAACAATAATTCTCTGGTTTGTACAAATTACTAGTTTTTTTTTCCGTCTTAATGTTTACCTTGAGTCAAAAAGGGTGTGATTTCAAGAAACTTCACAGTATATTCAGTTGCACATAAGAAAGAAAATATAATTGTTGCATTCTTTCTTAAAGACGACAATATTATGATATTTGGATCGTATTTTGCTATCTTTGAATTTCTCATGCAAAACTTGTAATTCGTTGTTTCTGAGAATTATTCTTGTTACTATTTTGTTAGTTATCTAGGAACTCTAGTGGGAAATGTTCTCACTGAGCGCTAGCTCACCCTGTTATTTAAAAAAAAATTCAGATATGGCGTAGCTTCATATTAGCTGAACTTTTGGTTTGAGCTTTTGGCTGAGGGTCGTTATATGGAGAGCCTCTTCTTTTTGATATTACCTTCAGCACAATTTGTTTTGTTTTTAAAAATGTTTATAACGGTGAGCTTGTGGGCTGTAAGTACCGATTACATACATATATAGTTGCTTTGATTTCTATCATCAACAGATTTATGAACATTTTTGAGATAAAATATGTGATATGAAGTGTCAGGCTTGACCCGTGTATAAGACTTGTCTCGTGCACGGGTTGCTGCTGTCGCGCACCCCGCATTTACAAATTTTCGCTGCAATTTTGGGGCGTGGCAGTTTCCCTTTTATAGGGAAACGCTAGGTCACGTTCAGGCACAGATCATCTTCGTTCTCAATGGGGAATTTGAAGCTTTCATTTGTTTCATCATTGTATGACAAACTTAATGAATCATATGGAAGATCTAACCTCTCTGACACATCAAATTTTAGATTCAGAATGATGGTTGAAGAGTTAATCTTTATGAATACTGCTCTATCCCCCGAAGCGACAATGTAGATGATGTCCTTTTCAGCCATTATGAAGCAGAGGTAAGAGTAATTGATCGAATTTAGGACAAAGATGAGTAATAAAGAGAAAGTAATAGAGAGAATTTTCGTCTGAGGAAAGAGTAATGGAGAACTAAATAGTTATTGCTCATGATAGAGGAAAAAAGGGGGGAAATTTTCCTCCATTTCTTACAAAAGTTTGCATTTAATGGGACGTGACTTGATATAACGTTTGGGGACGAAACGTCTGAGGCCGAAGGAGAAGGGCAAACTAGGGTTCTTTCAAAATACAATTACTTTTTTGTATACTGCTGACGTAAAGGGGCCTAAAAATATTAAACGCTGGTTTTTAGAGCTTATCCACATAGTGAAAAATACAAGGGACCTCATCACATGAAGTTTCTGCTTTTGGAACCTCGAAACATTTTTCCCTAAAAAACTAATTTAAAAGTTAGTTTGACAAAACAAGACAAAATGGGGGGCAAAAACAACTCCCCATAAAATTATAGGCTGTCTCGAGTATTGTTGAATGAAACAGCGAGCACGGGCTTGTAAGCCTTGTCCCAACCGCCTCGGGTTTGATGTTTTGGCGTTGATTCTTTTTACTCGCAACATGGGTTTTATTAATGTTCGTACCATATATTACTTGCCACAAGGAATGCTAAAACAAAGAATTTACATAATTTGTCCTCATCTGACATAAATTAAAGCTGAACCAACAAGCGCCCGCAATGTAATTCATGTTTTCAATGTCTGGTTAGCAACTAAGTAACTAAGAATGGAAATTATATTTTTCATCCTGCACAAGAAGTTCGCAAGTATGCCATTGACCATATTAGCTAAAACATTATGTGGAAGTCCCTCCAATAACTAAAACTATTGCATATTAAAGTCATGTCGTTATGATAAAGGATTCCAACTCAAAAGCTATGATTTTTTTACAATGGTTGATAAAGAAACACTAGATTTAAAATGAAAATACACTTTCTACAACAAAAGATACAAATCTAAAGGGTTCTACAAATCTAAAGAGTTATTACAACTAACAAAGTATTGGATATGGAAGTTAAAAACTTTAAAAAAAAAATACATATATTAAAAACAACATTTGAGATTAATTTCCTGCAACAAATACTGCATGCACCATTTTTTGCGCTTATAATTGCAACGTACCAACAGTGCCATAACTCCCACTCATGTAATGGGTGAAGGACCATAGCCATCATTTGTGATATAGGTCACTTTTCTTGGTCAATTTGAACTCAATGGATAACTGCCTAGCTGCTTCATTGACACACTTGTGATATGAAAAATCTTCAGTTGTTCCATCACTCCTAATTAAGATGAAACATCGGGTCTCTGGATGATATGGACCACAACCAACCTATGAAACGAAGATGAAGAATCATTACGTAGATCCATATATAAGAAACAAAACAAATAAGTAAAAGTAGACAAATTGCAGTTTAATAAAAAATAATATGTAGCTTCTTGGATTGTATCAGAGATTTAAGGGCAAAATGACCAAATTGGTATATTTTGTTTACCCTTAGTGACAGGTTGACATATAATTTTTCTCAAGTATCACATTGGTATATTTTCTTTACTCCGACGACAAATAGGCCTATCTTAAGGCCTATTTGTCACCGGAGTAAAGAAAATATATCAATGTGGTACCGGGAAAAAATTATATGTTAACCTGTCGCTTTGAAAAATTTATATACCAAGCTGTCACGGCTACTATTAATATGGTACTGGAGTAAAAAAAATCTTCCATTGTCTCTTTCTTCTTCTAACTTCCTACTTAACATCAATGAAATTCTAAATCTCTTTCTTAGTATCTTGTTCACAGCTACTATTAATCGGTTACCATATGAAGTCGTTCTTTGTTGCCTTTGAGTCCTAATCGTTGTTTGATGATGAGTCCTCAACATCATTCTTTGACTGCAAAGAAATATGATCGATCTTCCAATAAGGAAAGTTCTCTACCATTAATAGTATGCCCACCCAAGTAAAGGGGGAAGAAAGAGATTTAGAATTTTTGCCCTAAGGGTTCTCTATATCAATCTTAGATATTTGGGGCCCAAGATAAAATTTCTAGCTTCGCCTTTGTGTCCACGACTATCATCAAATAACCCCTGTCATGGCTGACTTGATTATCACTCCTCACCCCATCATTTGAAGCTCATTTGTATACCATTAATGCTAGAGAACCTTCCTTATTGGAAGATCAAACATGTTTCCTTACAGTCAAAGAATGAGGGTGAGGACTCACTATCAAACAACGATTAGGAATCAAAGGCAACTAATAACGACTTTATATGGTAATCGATTAATAGTAGCTGTGAACAAGCTACTACGAAAGAGATTTAGAATATCATTGATGTTAATGAGGAAGTTAGAAGAAGAAATGGACAAGGGAAGATTTTCTTTACTCTGGTACCATATTACTAATAGCTGTGACAGTTCGGCATATAATTTTCTCAAAGTGATAGGTTGGCATATTTTTTTTCGGGTACCACATTGGTATATTTTCTTTACTCCGGCGACAAATAGACCTTAAATAGACCTAACTTAAGGCCTATTTGTCGCCAGAGTAAAGAAAATATACCAATGTGATAAGGGAAAAAAATAATATGCCAATTTGTCACTATGGGTAAACAAAATATATCAATTTGGTCATTTTGCTGAGATAAGTCTGTGTTTGATTCTTATCTACATTAG